TTTCCCTCCCTCTCTTCGGAACTTTCTGGCCCCCCGTCCCCAATGGCTATTTTACATACTTTATTTTTTCTTCTTCCAAATTTGAAGTGTGTTCGTCAAAATGAATGAGTGGACACTGCTTTTAAAAAAATAATGTTATAAGGTTTTACGGCGCTCGCAACTGCTTACGGTCATGTGAGCGCCAAGGGGTGGAGGTCAACAGAGAAGTCCAAACGGGGAATCAGGCTTATTCTGCCTACCTCTCTAGCCCCAACAGCACAAAGTCTGCTTCAACTATCAATGAAACCCATAAATTGCAATTCACAAGAGAGTGACAAACAAACAAAAGAAGTAGACGGAAAATGACGATAGTAAGGATGAAGAAAGAAAAAGCAGCAGTTCCAGTCAGCGCTGTGCTCTCCGTGATTATCAAGCTGACCCTGGTTCGAAAATCCCTGACTGGGCTACATTTTAAATATTTTAAAATGTTTCTTTATTTTTCTTTATTCTTTAACTTAAAACAATAACAACAACAACAACAACAACAACAAAAACAGGGACATCAAAAATCTAGGACCCCCTCCCCCCTCCGCCCCATGAAAAAAACAAAAATATAAAATAAATGCCATTAGTCCATTCGCCATATTGATGGCCTACTTCTTTATTCAGATTTACTGCAATAACAATTACTACGTTGTGTTAATCTCAAACGACTCCTCCCTGTCGGAGTCGAGAAACTTCAGACTGCGACAAAGAATGATCGGCTGCATGTTGATATACCATAAGATAAGAAGTGGCCTATAGCACACGTCGCAGTTATATATGTCGTCGACGTCCGACTCTAACCGTGTATGTGCCCGCGTGAAAATTTTTTGTTTTGTTTTAGAAAAGGGGTAAAAAAAAAAAAAGACACCCCCACCTCAAGAAAAAAAACAACAACCCCCCCCCCCCCCAAAAAAAAAACCCAACAAAAACAAACAAACAAATTAAATTAAATTAAATTAATAAAAATTAAAACATTAAAACACAACAAAGCAAAGACTTACTTACTTTTACTTTTTTCTTCCGCTTGTACCCTGGGGTGTCGCGAGGAGACACAGGTGTCTGTCTGCAGCAAGTCGTGTGGCCTGTAGGCGGGACATCCCATGATCTTTAAGGGTGTCTGCCACAGATTCACTCCATCGTCGCCTTGGTCTTCCTCTGGCTCTCCATTCAGAATATTTAATGTTGTATGCTCTCAGAGCTGGATGGTTTGAGGGCATCCGCGTGAGGTGTCCGAACCACTTGACCTGTAAGACATAGTCCTAATTTCTTTCAATTTTCATATATCCAAATTGCCCCAAAATTTTGGAAAGTGTTCGTTTTTCTTTCATATCAATATACTATGTATTATCCAACTGTAATAATTAATTAATTATGGCTGTGAGTAACATAACTTAAGTCATGAAGGTGATTGACCTAATTTGGTGGATATACTGTTCGTCTCGGCCACCCACGATTTTATCATTAGACCCTATGTATTTTGACCGGAGCAGAAAAAAACCCGTCTATACTAGGCTTACCCGCTTACCACCAGCAGAGGCGCCAAGCAGGAGCCATAATATACTCTGCGGGGGGTAGGCTAGGAGGGGGCCTACCACACGTTGATACAAAACTCCGGGATAAATTTCAAACAGAGCTATTTTGATTGCTCGAAAGAAGTGAGGGTAGCTGATTAAAAAGAAAAAAAAAACTATTTAAAAAACTGAAATATAAAAAAAAACCCGCCAACGTAACTGAATTATGACCAAAAGTAAATTACAACGGCAAAGACAATAACGCTCGACTCTCTCGTACCATTCGTCGCAACAAAACTCCCGGATTAATTTCACACAACGCTCAGATTTGTTCGATTACTCGAACGAAGTCAGAACAGCTGATAAACGAAAAAAAAGTATATTGTAAAAGAAAAAGATCTTCAGCGTAATAGAATTATTATCACCAAAAAGTAAATTACAAGGGCAAAAAACAACGCTCGACCCTCTCGAGCAGCCGTCTCAATCGGCTGAAGGGCAACTCTTGACTCCACTGCAAACAAATCAACAAAGTGTTCGTCTGCCCGGATTCGCGCGGAATCAAACACTCGCGTTGTTTTGTCAATAGACACCGGCACTACTTGTGTATGTCTCCCTCCGCCCCGAACCGCGCGCCCAAGTGTCGTCATGCCGTCTGCCGCCCTCCGCGCCAGATGGTATTTTCAGCATCGGTGGCACATCCCAAAATATTGACTGTTTTTTGTTTTATTTGGGTTTGGTTTGGGGGGGTTAATTTGGTTCGGTTGTTACCCTGCGCCCTCCCCGAATATCCCTCTTCCTCCCACCCCTTCACCCTCTTCCCCCTCCTCCACCGTGCCTTCCCGCGAATATCCCACCAAAGCCACCAGGTTGACTGACACCGAAGTGATGTTACACTTCTTGCCGTTCGAACAGAAGACAGAATAAATGTTCACTTTTAAGCACAAGGGGGCGATCCCGAAAAACGCTGTTTTCAGAAAATCGAAGGTAAAGTTTTTGGAACCTTGTTCAGTTTCTTTAAAAGACAAGAAGAGTTTTCTCTATAACCAAACAAATACACACACCGAAGAAACCAAACTTCTCCTGTAAGTAGGGCAATGACCACTTTTGGTGTAGGTCAAGATTTCTGGAAACCCCCGAAATGTGGGAAGCAGGAAAGGAGGTGAAAGGAGACAATTTAGAGAAGAAAAAGT